TAACAGAGAACCACTCTGGACTCAGCACTGTGAGCACAATTAATACTGGACATAAAGACCAATATTATCATTAATATTATACAGAATTTCATAACTCACATACGCACTATATAGGGAGCAGTGAGCCGTTTGAGATTCAGCCTTAGGATTGTCCGAGCTCTGATCTTATAGATGTTTAATACTGACCATTAATGGCTGTTTGTTTTACGTTAAAGATGCTAAATAATGACCTTAAAAGAAACTTATATCCGTTAAATGGCTTTGTTTAAGTCTGAAACACGAAATGACCTCTGGAGTTATTCTGCTTTTGCCAAAAAAAAAATTGAATTTAAAAAATTTCAATAAAATTTCAATAAAGTTTAATTTTGTAAGTTACCTGTATTTTGTTGAGTTAAAACAACCCAAATGCAGTTTGGTTGATATTACTGATATTACCTGGAATGCACAATAAAAAAAAACATGATTTATTAAAAAATTGAGTTGAAATGGAAATATCTGTTTTTGCAAATGAACTAATCATTTAAAGACATTTTTATTTGATGTCTGGTAGCGACACATTTAAAATTCTTATTCAACATTAAACTGCACTGCACTAAATCCAATTAAACAGGACTAACTATGCTCTCTTTCATCAAAACCGCAGTTGGAGAGTGTTCTTTAATATTGACGATGTGCACGATAGTCAAACAAAATTTATCATGCTGACAATAGAATATCACCACAATGCCAGCACGTATCGTGACACCCTTACGTGTAAACAAACGCTGTAAAACCGGCTGCTCTTTCAACAGTTTGCACAGTGAGGGCGAATCCAGCTTTGCTCAGCTGTAGAGTCCAGAATCAGAATCAGAGTCCCATGAGATCACTGACCGGTATTCCTGGACCAACTGGCGCAAGAAAACGTTTCCCGAGAAAGCGGCCAGAACTAATCTGACGAGTGCATGCATGTGTCTGGCCGGTACAGCAGGGCTGCACGCCAGCGCAGCTTACCTTATAAACCCTATAGATGCTGAAAGCAGCAGTGCCAGCTTGAACTCCTAACCCGCTGCTTGAGGCCGTAAACCTGCCCTGTGCTCATAATAAACCTCTTACAGCCACGTTCTCATATCTAACATCCCATATATGTCCAAAGCAATCAGTCCACCAGGTCTTTCACAGACCTTTAACACAGCTCACTGGCTCTGAATAACAGCAGAGCTTCTGTTTTAATCTGGTTCATCTATGCTACGCTATGTAGCATTGATATACAGTTGAGTGGAGAACAGCTGTGGAACGGCACACATTGTTGAGAACATCAGTGACACACACAACACAGTTCACTATTTCTCTATTTTGAGCGTAACTTTGGTTCCTCTCCGTCGCTCGTGCTCTCTCACTCGGCGACGCTCATTACTGGAAAACTGCTTTGAGGCAATGTATAAACAACCACGACCGAACTGAAGTGAAATGAACAGAAGCAAACTAAACTGAAGTGAGCTGATGTGAATGAAATTAAATGGAAGCGAACTGAAAAGAATCAAATTAAACTGAGGTGAACTGAAGTGAACTACAACCCCATTTCCAAAAAAGTTGGGACGCTGTGCAGAATGTAAATAAAAACAGAATGCAAGGATCTGCAAATCATGTAAACCATACTTTTAAAGGAAAATATCAAATGTTGAAACTGAGAAATTCTATTGTTTTTGGAAAAATGTATGCCCATTGTGAATTTGATGCCAACAACATGTTCCAAAAAAGTTGGGACGGGGCCTGTTTACCACTGTGTTTCATCACCTCTTCTTTTAACAGCACTCTGTACGCGTTTGGGAACTGAGGAGACACTGCTGTAGTTTTGAAAGTGGAATGTTTTGATATAGAATTTAGCTGCTCAACAGTTCAGGGTCTCCTTTGTCGCATTTTTTATTTTATAATGCGGGAAATGTTATCAGTGGTGACAGGTCTGGACTGTAGGCAGGTCAGTTTAGCACCTGGACTCTTTTAATACGGAGCAATGCTGTTGTAATACATGCAGAATGTGGTTTGATGTCTTGCTGAAATAAACAAGGGCTTCTCTGAAAAAGACGTCGTCTGGATGGCAGCATATGTTGCCAAAACCTGTATATATCGTTCAGCATTAACGGTGCCTTCACAGATGTGCAGGTCACCCATGCCATGTGCACTAATGCCCCCCTATACCATCATGAATACTGGCTTTTGAACTGTGCACTGATAGCAAGCTGAGTGGTCTTTAGCCCCGAGGACACAGTGTCCATGATTTCCAAAAAAAAATTCAAATGTTGATTCGTCGGACCACAGGACACTTTTCCACTTCGCCTCAGTCCATTTTAAATGAGCTCGGGCCCAGAGAAGGCGGCGGCATTTCTGGATCCTGTTTATGTACAGTTTCTTCTTTGCGTTTTAGAGTTTTAACTTGCATTTGTGGATGCAGCGATGAACTGTTTTCACAGACAGTGGTTTTCAGAAGTGTTTCTGAGCCCATGCAGTGATCTCCACTACAGAATCATGTCTGTTTTTAATGCAGTGCTGCCTGAGGGCCCAAAGATCACGGCCAGCTAATACTGGTATTTGGCCTTGTCCCTTACATACAGAGATTTCTCCAGATTCTCTGAATCTTTTAATGATATTATGTACCGTAGATGATGAAAAGCAAATGTTCTTTGCTATTTTACGCTGAGAAACGTTATTCTTGAATTGTTGCACTATTTGATGGTGCAGTCTTTCACAGAGTGGTGAACCCCTCCTCCTCTTTACTCCTGAAAGACTCCGCCTCTCTGATGCTTTTTTTTTATACCCAATCATGTTACTGACCTGTTGTCAAGCAACTACCATGTGTTTTCTTTAGCATTACACAACTTTACCAGCCTTTTGTTGCCCCGTCCCAACTTTTTTGCAACGTGTTGTTGGCATCAAATTCAAAAAGGGCAAATATTTTTTCAAAAAAACAATAAAAGTTTCAACATTTGATTTGTTGCATTTATACTATTATCAATGAAATTTAGGGTTTGAATGATTTGCACATCATTGCGTTTTGCTTTTATGTACACTTTGCACAGCGTCCCAACTTTTTTGGAAATGGGGTTGTAAATTAAACTGAACTGAAGAGAACTAAACAAAATCAAACTGAACTGAGGTGAACCGAAATGAACTGAATTAAACTGAACTACAGTGAACTCATTTGACCCAACCAGAATTGAGCAGAGCTGAACTAAACTAAAATAAACTGAACTAAAGTGAACTGAAATGAACTGACCTACACTGAAGTAAATTAAACTGAAAGGGGAATTTCACTGATTTTACTAAGTTTCTGCATAATTAAATGTTTAAAATGTCAACAAAGCTCCCTCACAGAAAGTAACTACATGAACTGCCTGAGCAGAGGTGCAGCAAAGGGGTGGCCATAGAATCATGAACCATGGCAGCCCAAGTTATGGGAAGTGAGACTCAACCTTCATCAACAAAGCATCAGTTATGCTTATGGTGAGAATCTGCCATCAGGGTATTTACCAACCAGAGTATGATGACACTGCATTTAACCCTAAGTGACAGGTTACTGTGCTGAGCAAACAGCTGAGTGAATGTGGGCGGGGTCCTGCAGCAGTGCTGCTCTGTGAGCTACATTATAAAGTAGCTATTCGATGGTAAAATGAGTTAACCATCAAAAACGAGTCGGCTATAACCGTTTATCACGCTAACGAATTACTTTATTACAGCTGAATGCATGTGTTGTAAGCGGATACGCTGGGTGAAACAGCCCAGGAAGTTTCTTACGATACACAATGTGTCACAATGTATATTAATTCGTACATCTGATAAGTTAGAACAGCCCACATTTTAAAAATGCTATAAAAATCTATGAATCAAATTATTTAAATTCAACATCTCGCACACAGTTCTGCACCCAATCCAATGAAACAGGACTAATGACGCTCTCTGTAGTCAAACATGAAACTGGGAAGTGATCTAAAGTACTGACGATAAGCTCAGGCACACATATTGTGACACGCTGTGATCTAATTTATCGTGATAATGATAAATGTCGTCACATTGCCCAGCTCTAGTCGTATACAGCGCTGTCTCGTTAGCTATCTAATCATTAGTCTCAGTGACTGCAGCCTAAATTAATCATTTCTGTGGTCTGTCACCAGTTTTGCACTCAAAAAAGTGACTTTATTCACTTAATTCAAACACACTGTTCCCTCATGAGTGACTAAAATCCATTATAGAGAGCTGGGCGATTAAGTAGAGCTGGGCGATACGGCAAAAATATATAATATTGCGATCCTTCAAGAAATGTTCATACATGATATTTCACAATATTTATTTTTTCAGACATCTGATCAGTTGGAACAGAGAAAAAAGAACTGGCAGGGCTACGTTTTCAAAAAAATTGGCACAAAATCCAGTTAAACGGGACTAATTTTGCTCTCTGCATTGTATATCCAATAATATACAGAATATATACTGCATATTTTTGAATATTATACAGTACATGCATTTTGTATATTATACAATACAACATATTACTGGGCATACTGCATTTTGTATTGTATATTATTGCATATGATACAATATGTGCATATTGCGTATTATACAATATGTACAATGTCCTATTGGGCATATTATACTGCATATCGCATATTATATTGTATTGTATAAATACTGGGCAATATATATCGATATCATGATTCATTTATCACGATAATGATATATATTGCCCAGCCCTACAGAGAAATACATGCAGGGCCTATAAAACTCAGAAGACTTGTGTAGGTTCACTGGTGGTTCTGGATAGTAAATAAAATGTCTATATTTGTGTTGTAGTCATGGCGACCCCTGGTTCCTATCACCACCACTGTAAAGACATCTGAACCATTTCACACCAAACCACTCTGAATCTCTCTGTTTACATTCCACACACTGAACTTGCCGGAATTTTGAAAAATCGGTGGAGTTCCCCCAAATGAACTGAAACAAACCGAATCAAATGTGAACGCACTCACCAGTTCGTCGAGATTGCGCATGTCACACACTCTCCTCTGCGGCTGCCAGATGGGCGCGAGCTCGTGCTCCTCCTCCTCCTCCTCCTCGTGCTCACGCTCCGTCCTGCGCTCGCGCCCGTGCCCGCCGTCGGCCGCCGCGGCCGTGCCCCCCTCGCGCTCCCGCTCCCGTTCCCGTTCCCGTTCCCTTTCCCGGCTCTCCTCGCGCGCGATCTCCTCCTCGAGCTGCACGAGCACGGGCGCGGGCATGCCGAAGCGCGCGCCCCTCCGCGCCACCTCGAGCAGGCAGAGCACGAAGTTCTTCTCGCTGCCGCGCTCCACCAGGTCGTTGGTCTCGAACATGAGCACGTCCTTCACGCGCAGCTCGCCGCGGCACCAGCCGATGAAGTTGGACACGTTGTCGCGCGCCACGAACGAGCCGGGCGCGGCGCCGCGCGCCTGGTACGCCACGTCGGGCCACGGGCGCCACGGCTGCACGAGGCGCGCGGCGCGGTTCACGCTGTTGGCGTGCTCGCAGAGCGCGCAGCCCGTCTCGAGGCTCTCCATGAACGTGTCCGCCGTGATGTCCAGGCCGTAGAGCGCGTGCAGCCACTCGGCCAGGTCCTCCTTCATGGCGTACAGGTACTCCTCGCTCGACCTGAACGGCCTGATGCTCTTGCACGCGGCAGACTGGATGTTGCTCTGGTCGGTCATCCTGGCTGGTGGAGGTCGCTCGGGGTTACCGGGGGTAACGGCGCGTGTCCTTTATCCGGTGCAGCTCCTCGCTGGATCCCCGTGCGCGTCAGTCTGGGTTGTTTTCACTGCAAGCAACGTGCACGCACACTGCGCGCGCGGCCCTCGATCCCGCATGGCGATGTGTCACGCGCCTACAACAAACAGAGAGAGACAGTGACAGTGTGTGGGGGGTGGGGTGGGGGGGAAACGGGTCAGTCCTGCTGACCTGCTGATGATGGGCTTATAATGTTCTCTACCTGGCTTGTGTGAGTTATTTTATTTCCCACCCGTATTCCGGCAAGGCCCGCCCTTCTCCCCTGGGATTGGCTATCCTCGCAAGCACTCGGCCAATCAGCTACAGGGCTGATCTATAGACGCCTTACACTGATTAGCCATGACAGTACAACCACCTCATTGTATCTACATTCACTGTCCACTTTATCAGCTCCACTGACCATATAGTCTCACTCTGTAGTTCTACAGTTACAGACTGTAGTCCAGTTTCTCTGCATACTCTGTTACCCTGTTCTTCAGTGGTCAGGACCCCCATGGACCCTCACAGAGCAGGTATTATCAGGGTGGTGGGTCATTCTCAGCACTGCAGTAACACTGACGTGGTGGTGGTGTGTTAGTGTGTGTTGCGCTGGTCTGAGTGGATCAGACACAGCAGTGCTGCTGGAGTTTTTAAACACCTCAGTGTCACTGCTGGACTGAGAATCAAAAACATCCAGCCGACAGCGTCCTGTGGGCACTGTCCTGTGACCACTGATGAAGGACTAGAGGATGACCAACGCAAACTGTGCAGCAGCAGATGAGCTATCGCCCGATTTAAGGTGGAACGGGAAAATTCTAAGATGCTGGCTGATGCACCATTTAAGGTGGAACGGGAAAATCGAACAAGAAGCTGGCATATAACTTCAGCTTCGTGTAAGAAGGTTCTAACGTTAATCTATTATGAATATCTACACGGGTTAAGGAATGCTATAACTTACTGAGCTACAAAGCTTTAACCATCACTGTAAATAAATAACTACTACATCAAGTTAAGATCCTGAATAGACCATTAAATGAAATAAGCTTAATATAAAACCAGAGGAAAAACAATCACATCAACAGGTTCTCTGTGTATCACCCACCACACAACCATATCTACACATAAGCATCACACAGACATGAGTGTGGATCGCTGCGTTCCCTCCGTTATATAATCCTGTTCCACTTTCTGAGTGTATTATTCTTGAAATAGTGTAATTTCGGACAGTATCTTTCTTAAACTGCTGCTCTGTAATGGTACTGAACGCAGTCCAGCAGCGATGTTGACCTCCCCAAGATGGCGGCGCCGTTGACATGCCTGGCTGGACCCAACGCAGCATCTAGGTGTGTATATCTACGGTCTGTACACTCTGCCGTACGCCTGCAGGGCTGTACGTGTTTAATATTTACATTCTGGACCTCTATTCAAATACACCCACTGCAGGTCGTAACAGACAGTTGATCTATGCAAATAGTGAAGAGCAGGATTGCTGAGCGGCTGAGCTGAGGACTGTTAACACTCTCGGTGTACAGCAGTGTAATCAGGGCTGCCCACAGTGCAGCACAGTTTAGTAACAATTATTTTTATATAGCTTTGTCTTTTTAGCCCTCAGCCCACCATAAACACTATATATCGGCCCCCCAAGACAAAAATTTGGGCATATTTCAGTTCTAAAGGTCATCAATCAGCTGCAAAAGATACGACTAAAGTTTTTTACGTCCTTTTATAAATAAAATCTTCTTTAGACTGTAGTCATAAACTGTGTGGCCAAAAGTTTGTGGACACCTGCTCATCCAATGTTTCTTCCAAAATCCGGAGTATTAAAAAGGAGTTTGTCCCCCTCTGCTGCAGTAACTGTCTCTAATGTTCGGGGAAGGCCCTTCAATAAAAGTTGGAACATTGCTGTGAGGATTTAATTGCATTCAGCAGTGGGCCCACTAGTGAGATAAGGTACTGATGTTGGATGATTAGGCCTGGATTATAAACGCCACTCCAACTCATCCCAAAGGTATTGGTTGGAGCTCCATGACTCTAGAGAACGCAGTTCCACTGCTCCACAGCTCAATGCTGGGGGGGCTTCACACCCCTCTACCCTATGCTTGGCATTGGACATAGTGACCTCAGGCTTGTGTGAGGCTGCTCCAGAGCGTCCTCTTCTATTTTCAGTGCTTTTCTATGGTGACTATACAGGCTGAATGTGCATTTGAACCCGTATCAGCAGTGAGTGCATCTTAATGCAGCTGAATTCACTAATAAGAAGGGGTGTCCGTAAACTTTTGGACATGTAGTGTATTTAAAAGATAATACTGATCCTTCAAACACGACTTAATAAATGTCCACTGTAGTCCTGATTTTTGGTGGATGTTAACTGAAACATATTTTTACGTCACTCTTGTTGACCTTATAAAATATTACTGAGAGATATTGTATCAATCATGTCAGGTGTACATTACTAAGTAGTCATATCAATCATAAAGCTATTACTGAGAGGAAACATATTGATCATATCATGTTTATATTCCCGACTACTCATATTGACTGCATGTAACTGAGAGTCTTATTGATTGTATCAATGAAGGTGCCATCAAGACAGTTCCGACTCCTGTGACCGTATGGATAGCATCATAGTGTCCTGTCTGCTTTTCGGGTCTTTAGGCTTCTTCATATAAATCGCTGAACAAAACCGGGTATCTCCAAAATGGTCACTTTACAGGAGAAGGAAAAAAACATACTTTACTTTTAATGTAAGTCAATGGAACCAGATTTTTTTCCAAGTCATTTTGGGCCGTTTCTTTTGGGTCATTTGTCATGAAATCTACGCACAATGTAAAGGGAAACAGGTATTTTCAAATTATGTCAAAAACTGAAAAACGTCAAAAATGACTTTTCAGGTTTTGACATAATTTTAAAGTACCTGTTGCCCTTTACGTTATTTATAAATCTCATGATGAATTAACCAATAGAAACATCCCACAATCACTTAGAAAAACGTCTGGTTCCGTTGAATTACATTAAAAGTAAAGTATGTTTTTTTCCTTCTCCTGTAAAGTTACCATTTTGGAGATACGAGGTTTTGCTCCGTCAGCAGTGATATAAATATAAAACACCATTCAAGATTCACATGAGTGTTTGATTACTAGTGTTAGTGACATTAGCCTCGTAGCTCCACTGCTAAAGTAAAAATTTGGACACTGAACATGTCTTGGCTGATTGAAATCTGTTGTGTACACCTTTTTTTGCCAACAAATCCATACAGCGACGAACCGTGACTATTAGAGCTGGACCTTCAGTTTGGGCCATAAATATCAAAACTCGGTCGAAAAACTATGAGTAAAAAAACCTCTACAATAATGCTAATTTCAGCTACCGCCCTTATGGGATTTTAGTAGTATGTTAGCACTAAGCTAACGGTGATTAATTCATTATGAGATTTATAAATAATGTAAAGGGCAACAGGTATTTTCAAATTATGTCACAAATAGGAAAAATGAATGTATATATAATGAATGAAAAATGTGTGTATATGTATGTGTGTGTGTATATATATATATACACACACACACATATATACTGGTCAAATAAAAATTTGGACACTGAACATGTCTTGGCTATTACAGCTGGACCTTAGAGCTGGACCTTCAGTCAAAACATCTCTACAACAATGCTAATTTCAGCTCGGGCCCTTATGGGATTTTAGTAGTATGTTAGCGCTAAGCTAATGGCAACTGATGTAAACATGTTTTGGCTGACATTTGAAGCTTGTGACAGATATTAATATATATTTTAATTACCGATGTGTATTTTTGTTCTTGTTTCCCAGATATATATACAGCCGTATTCAGTCACATTACACATTTTTGCTGATTTTCTAACTGAAAATAAGTCGTTTAGAAGGTGCCGTAATGTTTACACAGGCCACATTAATAATCCCATATATGAAAGACGGTTCTCCAAGGGTTCTTTAGTAAAGGCAATGGTTACGTAGAGCCACGGGCTCTATATTAGAATCATTTGCATGTTTCTAAGGTTCTTTGCATGGTAAAATGGTTCTTCAGACTGATGAAGTATGTGTTCTCTATGGTTCCATGTAGAACCCTTTTGAAAATGGTTCTACATAGCACGAAATAAGGTTTCTGCTATACTCTTAAAAATGATGGCTCTTCAAGGATTATTTGGTAAACATAATGCTTCTATGTAGAACCAAGAGTTCTACATAGAACCATTCGAAGCACCGAAAGTGTGCTTACATAAACTCTTGGCTCTTCAGTTCTTGGTACACAAAATGGTTTTATACAGAACCATGAACGCTCAAAGAACCATTTGCATGATTAAAGGTTCTTTGCATCATGAATGGGTTCTTCAGATTGCTGGACAATGAGCTGTAGATGGTTCTATATGGAACCTTTTTTGAAAACAATTCTTTATAGCACCAAAAAGTGTTCTCCTATTGTTGCAATGTCAAGCTTGCACCAATATTGAACCATATACAACACATTCTCCATCAAACTGAAGAACCCTTTAATCATGCAAATGGTTCTTTGAGCGTTCATGGTTCTGTATAAAACCATTTTGTTTACCAAGAACTGAAGAGCCATCTTTTTTAAGCGTGTATGGAAGAACACTTAAAATGGTTCCATATAGAACCCTTGGTTCTACATAGAACCATTCAAGCATGAAAATGGTTCTATATGGAACTCATAGTTCTAAGTATAACCACGCCCCTTACTAAATAACCATCTTTGTAAAGCGTGTGAGACCGATAGTATTCATACCGCACTTTGTATCGAACCAACATCTGAAACATCGCCAGTAATATCGAATCGAAACCGAAGGCGGCGCATCGAACCGCGCAGCTCTCTGTGAGCCATAAATAACGATACACCGGCGATTAATCGAGCCGTAAAGCCGAAACGCGGATCGTTATCCAGCAGTGAGAGGCTGGTGCGGCTCTAAAGCCTCGGCAGGAGAGCTGTGAGTGTGTTTTACCCATTCAGGCCGGCGGGCTGAGCTCGGATTCCTGGGAGAAGCTGGGCGCTCCGGTCTTCAGGAACACGCAGACACTCTCAGCTCGCCCCGCTGCTGCT